TTAAAAATGACGATACAGGAAATTTCAGATCCTCCTAAAATAAAAAGTTTATCTTTCCCAATTAAAAATACATTCAAATTATTTAGAAATGCTTGTAATGTGACTTTGGATTTTGAGAATAAATATTTTGAAAACAAAATTGAGTTGATTAAAAATCGTAGAGAGGAATTCCAGTCAATTGCTAATGGCACAATTCAACAATCTGACGAATTGGCTAAATTTGGTGGAGATTTAATGGTCCTTATTAAACATTGTGGTGACAAAGCTGCTTCTAAAGAAGATATATTAAATTATTTGAATAGACTTTTAAATGATGCTACAACTAATAAAATTGCAATAAAAGAAACCAACTCCAAAATTATAACTCTCAAGTATAGGATGATAAAGATTCATAATGAATTAGCAGAATTTGATTTTGAAAAGATGAAAAATATTGATCCTACAACATACGACAACTTAAACGATACTGAATCTAAAAAAAAGTTTTTAAATAAATGGTCAAAAATCGCTTTTATTATAGGCGGAATTTGTCTAACAATTTCTGTACCTCCAGCAGCAATAGTAATAGCACCAGGATATTCAACAGCAGGAGTAGTAGCAATAGTAGCAATGTTTGGGGAAGCAGTAGGAACAATGGTAGTAGGAGGGACAACTTTATGCATTGCTAAATATAAAGAAAAAAAAGCTGTTAAATTACATGAAACTCTAAGTACAAGACAAGAACAAATGACCAAAAAATCAAAAATTTTACAAAAAAATGTTTCCTCAATAAGTCAAAGTTTAAATAATCTTAAAAATTTTTGGGAGACTCAGATTGCTCAATTAGAAAATCTTATTGTGGAATTTAATAGTTTAAATGAACAGAGATCTCCTCCTAACATATTAATTATTGAACGCTTGGAAGAACGATGGAAGAAAACAATCAAAGAATGTAAAGAGTATTCTAACATTACAGGAAAGGAATTAGAGGATGATGTGAATGATATGAATGATATGAATAATCAAAAATAGCTAATTGTATGTGAGTGGTGTCACTTTTAAAAATATTATTTGTTTTATCTTTATTTCTTTCACTTATTATGTAACATCTCTCATAAAATTTTTTTATATATTTAAAAGACATTTTAGGTTTTAAATCTTATTATTATACTTTGTTGTTACATTATGTATAAGATATTGGGCGCGCAGTGGCCAATATCATGACATCCTGGATGTCACTGAAATTGTCCATCGCACGCCCAATATCGATATTATCAGGCCATCACTATTAAGCTATTCTTTCAAACGTCACTGTTTATCAAGTTTAATTATATGATTTAATTATATCTTATAGAAATGTTGTATAAAATAGTATATCAATCATATTGGCATCATTTTGCACCTAAAATAACAAAATAACTTAATAGTGCTGTTTGCCCGATAACATTTAAATAAATATTAATGTTGTATGTGAAATCGAAATAATATATATATATATAATTAATGTTTTGGGGTAGGGTATTCGGGTATGAAATTCTGATTGGCTAATTTGAATTTCACGTCATGAATTGCAAATTTCACATAATTTCATTTTCACGCACAACAACAACATTAACAAAGTATTTAAGAAAATGTCAAAAGTGTCACACAAGATTGGCCAATGAAATTAATACAGGTGTTGCTGAAATTAGACTTTGACGCAGATATTTTGGACGAATCTCATAATTCCGGGTCAATTTAAATTTTATTTCTATTTCTATTTTTATTTTTAGGGTCTGATTAATTTCGTCGAAAGTTCGTTTCGTCGAAAGTATGTTTCATTGAAAGTTCATTTCGTCGAAAGTTCATTTCATCGAAGATTATTTCGTCACAAAAAAAACTTCATTAAACAAATTTCTCCTCACACTTCCCACACACTCCGCTTTCCTCACCTAATTTCTTAACTAACTTCCCACACTCCTCACATCCAACTCTTTCGATCTCTGGCTTGAGGATGAATAATTTTCGACGAAATGAACATTCGACGAAATGAACTTTCGATGACGAAGTAAACGCGACCGAGAGCAAACAATTCTTTGGATGTTGAAGTTAATGACGAAGTTTTTGATGAAGTGACATTAACTTATAAGGCATTGAAATAATGTTTGAAGGTTTTACGTATGATCTTTAAAAACTCAGCCACTGAAATTAGATACATTGATAACGAAACAACAACAATACCAAGAAATTTTATTATGAAATCATAAACATACAACATAAGTGACTTAAAAGTATGTATATATGATTAGTCTAAAATTAATCTAAACGTATAAAAGAATTTTTAAAAGCACTATCATTTAACATCTGATGAAATTCTTTGCAGTTGATCTCTTCAGCTGTACACCTCTCAATGATTCCAGCTGTTAAATTTTTAGGTAAACTAAGATTCACATTTCCATCCATCGATCGCAATGCATTGATATGCGACTCAAAAATATCATATTGTTGCTTCCAAAATTGTATCAATGTCTCTAAATGTGTTAAAATTACTGGCAATTTTGTTGATATTTTTTCTTCATATTTCCGAATTTTTTTTTGTTCCCTTTCATCATTTATTATAGTGATGCTGTTCTTCCTATTAAGTCCAGTTAAATGGTTCCATTTCCTAGATAATCTTTTATGGTAATAAGCACAATATCCAAAAGTGACGACAAGAACAATAATATTTTTTAAAAAATCCATTTCTGGTAAAATCCAGGATAGCAAAGAATATGTTGAGACAGGGGTGAATACAAGCATAAAAACTTCTGGTAAAAATTGAGCTAATGCATTCAGAAAATTTGGAGGTTGGCTACCATCTGTAATTTGTAATAATTGATTTCGTTGTACTAGCCCCACATCACTATCACCAAAACTTTTCGGTGATTGACTAATGTTTTCAGCGATGGATGTTTTAAATTGTTCAAAGTCATTTTTTAATTCCTCAGAGTCACTAATTCTCTGCTTTGCCATATCCTTTAGTACTAATAATGTTTGCAACAAATAATTGGAAGTAACATTATCTTCTGTAAGCATCTTAAAGTATTCTGTGAAATCCTCCAAATCCATTGACTTTTTTAAAGACCCTTTGGCTATTCTAACAACCAAATCATTAAACTTACTACTTGACTTATCTAATTTCTTGACATCATTATTCCTGCCAGAAATTTTGATATGTGATTCTTTTAAATGTCGAAAAGCTTCAAGTATACCAACAATGGCCTTTTGCGAAACATCAAGATTAGGAAAAATTACATCTTTATATTGATTTAATTCAATTGAAGCCATTGATGTGATGTATTTCTTCTTAATGACTGTTTGATGATGATAAAAAATTTTCTTATTTACACTGCCCTCCAAAAAGTATTTGGACGATGTTTTTTGATAATTACGCAAAACGCCACATAACGAAAGTACATAAAATTTATGTCATTTTATGGCTTGGTTCTGACGACTCTACATATAAAATCTCATTTTCCTATCATTCTTTTATGATTTTTAATTAAAAAAAAATGAACACCAAATAAATCGCGAGGCTCATTTTTGTGATTTTCCAATAATTTTATTTTTCTCGAAATTTTATATCATAAAATTTAATAAAAATTTAACAGTTTGTAGTTTAGGTTCTCATAAATAAATGACTAAAACTTCATGTTCTTGTCACGTGTAAAAGTTTTGTTATTCAAATAAACCGAGTACCAATAAAATTGATTAGATCAAAAAAATCGTGAAAATTTTTTTTGATTTTTAAAAATGGCAAAAAAGAAAAATTCAGAATTAACTGAAGTCGAGCGAGGAAAAATTTTAGGCCTAAGAATAAGTGGTAGTTCTCTTGCAAAAATTGCAAAGAAATTTAATATTCCAAAGTCTACAGTTCATTATACTATCAAACATTATGAGAATGCGGAGAATTTAAAAAGTGCACCAAGAAGTGGTCGTCCAAAGTTGTTGAAAGTTGAAGATCAAAAAATTTTAAAAGAAATTGCATCAAAAGAAAACCGTAGTTCTTTAGAGGAAATTCAAAAAAGGTTTGTAGAAGTTAATGGTGTTAAGGTATCAAAAAATACAATTCGCACAAATTTGCATGAACTTGGGATTTTTTTCCAGAATTGCTGCAAACAAGCCCTTGTTAAAAAATCAACAAAGAGAGAACAGGTTGAAGTGGTGTATGCAAAGAAGAAATTGGACAATAAGACAATGGAAAGCAATTATTTGGAGTGATGAGTCACGTTTCAAAATTTTTAGAAGTGATGGTCCAACTCGAGTT